TGAGCAGCTTCTTAGCCTCCTGCTGGAAAGCCCGTTTTATGGTTTGCATGGTCCCTAGAGACATATAAATTTGTACACATCCCACTGGAAGCGAGGCATCCGCACTCCAGCCTGCATACATGCTGAAAAGCAACCCCAGGCGTCCCTTCCAGGAAGGGCAGGAGGGACCCCCTGCTTCCACACAGGGGCCCCTGAAAGCAAAGGGGCCCAAAGGCTAAGAAGCAGAATTTGGTTGTTCTCTCAAAAGAGCGACGCTGGCAGCCCTCGTGCTCTGCTGCATTTGGAAAGAAAGGAGCCCTTTAAAGCCCCCGTCAAGTAAGTTAAATAACTCGACTTTCTTAATGACCTATTAATCAAAGCGCATTGATTCCTGAATGAGATTCTGTTGCCAAAGGAGCCTTTGATCTTCCCAGCCCTGACGCAGGCATTAGCGGAGTTTTATTCTGACAGATACAATATAGCAATCAATAAAATCTTATTATATGGAGCTGATATACATGGATTTGCCGCAAGGATTTATGCTCCACTTTCAGAGCCAGGACTATTTCATGCCTCTGCTCCAACCTGTAATTGAAAATAAATCTCTCCAAACACTCCCAGGTTCTACTCCCTGGACGTGTTAGCAGCGTGAACGGTGTCGGCCTTTCCACGGGGGAATTGTAGCTCTGTCATCTTGCTTCTCCGGGCCACTTAGCCAGAGTTTCCTTGCTGAGAAATCCTTTGCTCAGCAGGCAGGAGGCAGGGATGGTCCAGGGGAAGCCCACCCTCCGACTGAATTGGTCCCACACACCACCCTGAATCTTGAAAGAACACTAAAGCCACAAAGGCTGATTCCTCTAAAGAGGGACAGAAGGCGGTGGCTGGTTTGTCAGACTGTTTCTTAGCAGCCTGCTATTTAGGCAACGTATCAAGAAAACTAGCCACAAAAGCGGTTGTTTGTAGCTTGGCTTACTTGCCTGAGTAACCCGGGACTATCTGTCCCGCATGCCTGCGGGTGATTCCTGCTGGTGGAACACCAGATCGTGTCGATGCCCTTATTTTACTATAATTTAAGATCTGAGACTGGCCTAGGAGGACAGCGTGTGGGATTCCCCACCACAGAAGCACCCTGAACACCCCCGAGCTCTCTTACTGAGGCAGCTCGATTTCTCCCCTTCCAAGCTCTCCCTTAGAAGAGGGGGCCCATCCGAGCAATCTGGGCCCAGGGATGCTATGACACACACACACCCCTTTCATTCGACTGCTGGGGCACCGGGGTGTGTGTGTGAGAGCGGTGGTGGATTCTGAGGTTGTTTTCTCCAGCCGCAGCACAGCTCCATCAATAAGGCCCTCGCTGAGGCTACGATCATTTGCATTCTTCAGGAATGCCTGGGTGGGGGTGATAATTAACTCATTCAGATGCAGCCTTTGAAACTTACTTAGTAGCTTCATTTGGCTGCTGCTCATAAAAATACATTCAGGAGAAGGAATTTCCCTGAGACACCTGACTGCACACGGCCAGCACAAAATTCTCTAGAGAACCTCACTCCAGAATTTCTTTGAGAGAAAAAAAGGCTGCTGGTGTAGTCATGCCTGAGCCAAGGAGCAGCCTTACTCAACTGGTAGAGCTCCCAGGGGCCACTAGAAGGCAGGGACAAGTCAGAATTCTCTGTTTCCTTTCTGCCACCTAGAGGTTGTGTTGGGGATTGCAATACAGATCTGTGTAGTAGTGGAAGCTGGTAAAGTGGGACTCAGAGATTCCCAGGTCAGACTGACTTTGATGCTGAAGGCTGAAAAAAAGAATGTCCAAACGTCCACGGACGAGTGGGAAGAGAAGGTTGATCTATCAATCTCATTTTGATTGTATCTTCCAGTATATATTTCTTCTTACTTTTTTCTTTGCAATAAACAGCATAGCTAGCTAGCTAGAGTCTGTGAAGCTTCTGTGGTCATTGAACATGGGCTGAGTTTCTGGACAGCAGAGATCAACTGCCCTGCCTTGTGAGGCCGGACAATGCAGGGATGGACGTGTCTCAGAGACGGATGGGGATGGGAAGAGAAAGACACAGCGGGTCCATGCACACAGGAGGCCAAACTGCATAGCCTGAGATTTGCGTTTCCCTCTTATGTCAAGCGGCATCACTTGTGAAGGAGGGCTGTTTGCCTAATCTTTTCAGAGGATCCGCCCCCCACCCCAAAAAAAACCCCACAGGAAGAAAAATGTCGGGGGAGGAGAGCAATCAAAATGCCATTTCTCTCCCTTCCCATCTCGGTGTGCTGCCTTTGGGGATGGGGGGAATCTGGGCCAGCCTTCCATTTGCCCCCAGCCTAGAGAAGGAATCCTTTTTCGTCCCCTCCCCCACCCCACATCTAACTCAGCTCAGGCCGGCGAAAGGGTTAAGTTTAATTTATACTGATTTCCATTTAATATCCTTCTCTCCCGTAGGAGCCAGCAGCTGTGAGCTGATTGTAGTTTCTCATTATGCAGCCTGTATCACTAATGGTCTGTGACAAAGGCATGCCATCTTCCAGGCCTTACCCCCGAGAGCCAATTAAACACATATACTCCTTTCCTGTTTGTGGCACATTACAATGGAATTAAACTGAATTTCAAAATCATTTTCTCCTAAAGACATCTCTTTACAATAATTAATGCATGCTATTCCTTTGCATCTGAAATATTTATCAGGAGGATCAACTCTGAAAAATACATTTAAAAACAAAGACAAAAAAACAGGATTGCCTGTGAATCTGAGTCGGCCGCCATCCTCACTTTCACTACAGCAAAACCTGTTCAGCTGCAGCTGTTTTTAAGTTATTAGTACCACTACTGATAGTATCAAAATGAGTAAATACAAGGAAAAAGTCGCCAGAGAGATCAACAGCAAGCCAGCTTAAGCAGGGCGGAGGCACGTGGCCATTGGGGGTTTCAGCACATTCCCACACAGGCCTCGCCCCGATATCAGCCCTCTGAGCAGCGTCCTCCTTCTCCTGGGGTTGATAGATAGGAAGACCCATCAGCCAGTTACTGCGGAGGCCAATTCGAACCGGGAACATTGGCCACCGTTGCGTGAGCTCCGTGGGCCAGCTGGGGCCATTCAGGCAGAGGCTGCTCTGAGAGGAATCCCCTCTCTACCCAGGCCGGCTGATGGACAGGAACGGAATTAATCAGGCACCCAAGCGCCTCTCGCAAGATTAATGACACCCAGGCTGAACAAAGGGAGGACAGGCGTCCCTCGTTAATTCAAACAGCCCACCCTGGTTGGGAGGAAGGCCAAGAGGAAGTCGGGGTCAACAGGCTTAAGCAGCCAAACGTGATGCTAACAGGCCGTGTGCCATCCCGAGGCCCCCTTGCTGGGCTCTTTTCTTCTGTGGGGCAGAAGATACAAGAGCAGCTGATGGAACAATTAACCAGTGGAATGACTTTCCCCCAGAAGCTGTGGGTGCTCCGACATTGGGGGTGTTTAAGAAGAGGCTGGACAGCCATTTGTCTGAAATGGTCTAGGGTTTCCTGCCTGAACAGGGGGTTGGACTAGAAGGCCTCCAAGGTCCCTTCCAACTCGGTTATTCTGAAGCAAGGCCTGCTCTGCTTTCCCACTGTGGCCCTTCAGAAGCCCTTGAGAAGCAGAGCCTGCCTGGCCTCAAACCCCAGCGGCAGGCACCAAGAGACACATTCTCATGGGCGCAACTTGCAGCACTGACCACCTTTCTCCCTTTCACCACTGGGTTTCCTGTGCTCTAAAGCAAGGCAGTTAAGTCCAAGGAGCCTTGGTAGTACAGTGGTTTAATGCACCCTGTAATTAACACAGCTGCCTGCAATTTCTGCAGGTTCGAATCTCACCAGGCTCAAGGTTGACTCAGCCTTCCATCCTTTCTAAGGTAGGTTAAATGAGGACCCAGTTTGTGGGGGCAATAAGCTGACTTTGTATAAAGATACAAAAGGATGAAGGCTATTGCTTAACGCATTGTAAGCCGCCCTGAGTCCCCTGAGAAGGGCGGCATATAAATCAAATTAAAAAAAAAAAAAAGTCAGCCGTCCCCAACCTTTCTAGCTTGGCGGCCCTGGACAGGAGGAGGTGGGGGTGGCGGCTCTGAATAGCACACACACGCACAGCCCCATTTGTGCAAGGGGTGTGCGTGCGCACAAGTGGAGTTGAGCACATGCACACTTGCCGATCACTCACGCAGCCCAGTTTCAAACAGTCCGTGGCCCAGTGGTTAGGGACCCCTGAGCTAAGTCCCCATGGATGAATGAATGATGGTAGCAACTTTCACGGTTTACTGGGGTGGTGTGAAGCACCTTCTCTTTCTCTGCCCCGAACCGCGCTTGATTCGGGCTCCTTGGGCGACCCCCCCAGTCCTTGGTGTGACGAGAAAGACGCCAGGACCAGGGCATGAATAGCTGCACCCAAGAGGCCTCCTTCCATGGACTCAACCTTTTGAGTGCTTTGCCGCTTGATGGCTGGAACCAGAATAAATGAGGCACTCAGTAGGGCCCCTGCCTTAAGTGAACAATGAGTAGGAATCAAGACTGTTGTGACAGAATCACTGAAACACTAAATTGGTTAAAAGGGGTCAAGTGTTATTTGCATACTAGGAACACCAGCCACACAACCGTTTATCAGAATTGCGAGCAACAGCTCCGTGCTCTTCCTGAGTTGCGGCCAACTGCAAATCCAGCCTATTTCCGCAACCTTGACCCACAAACCAACATGTGGGGCTGCTTCTTCTTTGGCCCTACTGCCCTCAGCAGCCCTATAAATACACGGGGCCAGTCCAATAGCACGCCTCATTGAGTAAGAGCTCAGGTGGTGGACCAGACAGAGAGAGAAGGGGGTTTCCATCACCTTTTAACTCAGCGTATCTCAGCCTTGGCTCCTGAACGATGTGTGGACTTCAACTCCCAGAAGTTGGCTGGGGAATTCTGGGAGAGGAAGTCCATGCATCTTCCAGCTGGCGAGGTTCACAAACATTGTGTTTAGCTAGACCCAGAACCTGAGATTCTTATCCCCAGCAAGTACCTGTCTTGAACCAGCCATCGGGAGTAAAGGCGTCCTTGGTCTCGGCAGGTCTGTTCCAATATTCCTGAAACACCGTGGGTCCTTTCACAAAGAGCTCCCCTTCTTTGGCATCGAAGCCTGGAGTCACCTGTGGAAACAGAATAGTCATCTACCCAATCAGCCCCAGGGGTCTTCGAATCCCATCCCCCAGCAAGGGCACTGGACACCTAGCAACCCCGAAGAAGCCTCTGGCCTGCCAAGACAGGCAGCTTTCCAGGTATCTGCACTCTGTGACGGGGTCTGGAAGAATCAGGAGACAGAAGAAAGGAAAAAGAACCACCTATCTGGCCACAGAGAGAGGCCCCGGGCAGATCTGGACTTCTCTGGCCCGGTTCTCAGCATGACAGTGAGGTTCAGGCTCCAGTTTGGCCCCTCAGAGCTTCATTTCAACTGCTACCTGTCTACCAAGGGAGGGGATGAGCAAGGCAACTTGGCTCTTCCCCATTTCCTGCTGAAAACCTGAGCCAAAGGCTCCAGCAGCCCTGAGACGGTGCAGCCAGGTAGGTGGGAGAGGGTTTCCGTTCCGTCCTGCACCCATGAAAAAGCTGGATGAGCTTCAAATACCTTGTTGCCTCTGCTGGGGTGCTGGCACACGCTCAGTGCTTCCCCAGCCTATCTAGAGAACAGCTCCCTGGCAGCAGGCGCCCCCTCATGCCCCCCTTGTAAGGGTTCACAGCCACATTGCTGGCTTGCAGTCAGTAAAACACACAGAGAGAGATAACGGGGATGTTATTGTAAGAGGATTTCGTTCCCTTGTAGCTGCGCTCCCTTGGATACTTTGCATGCACAGTATGGGAATGGGGTGGGATAGAGCAGAGGGGGGTACAGCAAATATTTACGGGCAATCGTTCACCTATGGCAAACCCCACAGGGCCACGTCCTACGTCTGAAGCCTGCTTTTTCCCCCCAACCAAGGGCTGGCTCTCACTTCCTCTCCTTTCTCCTTCCAAATCTCCAAGGTACCTTTCGTTGATGCACCGGATCTAACTTACAAGCAGCTGCTGAAAGCATCAGATGGCTAATTGCATAGATATCCTATTCTCCAAATGCCATATTTTAATGCACATTTTAGCTGCTTTAATGCGTTCAAGCAACTTTAACACCGAGGCACGGCTTGTGCCTTGGAAGGCTGGCCTTTGATAGTTTTCCGCCGCAAAACAGATCCGGCAAGTTGAGCTAGCTAGGCCAGCCGGTGCAGCAGATAAGATTACATTTGTCGTGCGTGGAAATAAAAAAAGGTTGTAATAAATTCTCCAAAGGAAGAAATCCAGCTGATTATAAAATGGGTATTTTCAATGCTTCAATTTTTTTACCTCTCTATTAGCAGGCAGTCTTGGTGAGGGGGCTACAAATGGAGGGGAGAGCCAGCCCCTCCTGACACAACCTCCCCTCCCAAGCCCCAAAGGCTCCGAGTTCTTTTAGAGGTAATTTCTAATGATTCCCAAGAATCACAGAGGGTTCAGATTCAGCCCCTCCCCTCCCCCGGTGTGTAAAGGCAACATCCTCAGCCAACCCATCAATCATAATTTATTTAATAAATGCATATGGCCACCCATCTCATAAACATGCCTCTGGGTGTTTTAACGATTAAAAGCAGAATTGAAACAGGATAAAACAACCCCATTTTTTTAAAAAAAAAAACCAACATCAATACCTAGAATAGCTGTCAGAAAAACCTCCCAGATGAGGCTGAGGGATGACCGGGAGGCTTCCTCCTTCTCCTCCTCCTCCCAGTGTAAAGGGGAGTTCATCAAGGGCAGCAGCGAGTGCCTGACCCTGTTGTGGGGGAGCTAGGAAAGCCCCCCCCCCTCCCCCGTAAAATCCACAGGGGCTAAGCAAGGGGCCATTGCCCCCCCCTTTCAGATGGCCCTGTGCTTCAGAGGAGAGTTAAGCCTGGATGGTTTTTGTGGCCTTCTGCATGCCCTGCCAAAAGGAAGCCCAAAGTGAGAACGTTAATCTGGCCAGAGGGAGCTCGTTGTAAACACCGCAGCTGTTCCCTCCACCATCACCAACGGCGGCAGCAGGCAGGAAGAGCCGTAAAATTTAATTTTTCAAGACGCACTTCCACAAAGGCATTTTCCTCCACCACGACCACCATCCCTGCCGCCTGGCACTGGTTAAAAATGCAAAGGGTTTGCGCTGCTGGTTTATATTTGCAATTAAATAATTACCTGAATCAAGATACTTAAGGAATACTAGGAAGTTTCCTCTTGGCAGAGAAGAAGGGGGGGGTTAAGCAGGGGGGAAAAAAGCCCCATCACTTCTGCTCGTTCTATCTGCATAAATGAATCATTTTATTAATCCATCCACTGAACAAAAATCAGAAATCTGAATAAACAATTTTTAATCAGAGAGGGGGGGGGAAATAAACCACACAGTGGGGAGCACTTAATTGGTGCCCCCTCCTGGCTTACACTGCCAGATGACATTGGTCACACCGCATCCACCAGCAACCCCTCCCTTCATACTCTCAGCTTTGAGACTGAACAGCAAAGGGAGAGAGAGAGATTCAGCCCTGCTCCCATTCAGTTCAACCATAGCGAGACAAAGAATTTCCTCTCCTGCACCCCGAAAGTCCAAAGGGAGACGGGGATCAAGGTAAGGCATTCACCACACACGATGCAGCCACGGCCACTAAGATAGGTGGGGGGGGGTATCAAAGGTCAGCGTCTTGAAGAAGGCAGGCAGTCAATGGTCAGGTGAAGAGAGGACCTCCTGAAGAGAAAGCCCACCTGCCATGAGGACATGGGGAGGATTCTGGGCGAGCAGTTTGCAGGACACCCCGTTTCTGTTCCTTCTACCCGTTTTCCAGTTTTTGTTTTTTATAATTATTGCTTTTTGCTCAGCCTATCGACTTCCTTAAGATGCATCTCGGCTGAGGGGGCTGGTGACTGCAAGCTTCAACTCTGCAAACTTCTGCAAACCTGAAGTTTTGCAAACTTCCGCTCTCTCTAAAGGGTGGCAGAAATGGGTTTTTGATAAGACCATTTCTAGCCTTCATCCCACGAGCTCTTCTTGGACAGCTCTCCTGCCAGCCTCCTGCCCAGGCCGGGTGACTTGGCCTGCCTTGACCACATGGCACAATCAACTAACTCTCCTAAAGCCAGTTCTTCACGGGCCAATCTAGGAAATCCAGAAAGCCTTTCTGGAAAGTTGTTCTTGTTCCCAAAAACAAAGCAGATCCATTTTCTCCTCTTTCCTTTCCTCTCCCAAAACACACAATTCCTTTTGTCTAGGCAATTGCCCGCTGCCTGTTGCAGCCGTTTTTCCGTGAGAGCAAAGAGCCCCTCGTGCTGCCAAACACCCCCATCCAGGCATCAGGTAGCAATAAACTTTTAATCGCTGTCTATTGCTGGGAGTGAAGTGCTCAGCAGCACACTGCCCATCTCCTAGGCAACCTGCTCCCACAGACCCTCTTGTAATTAAAAATTCCCCCCTCAGCTCCCTTTCCAAGCGAGCAGCATTATCTCTGCTCCAAGCGGTGTGTCCTGCAGCAGAGCTGCAGAAGACGACTGGGAAGCTGCATCTGCCCCCCTCCTCCCCCCACAATTAGAGAGGAGGCCGATTTGGGGCTCCTCGGGGAGACAACGATGAGAAGGAGCAAGAGGAGGAGGCGGGGCAAAAGTCACCCCCAGCCCAGTCCAGGCTGTCATCTGCAAAAGCCACATTTCGCATCTGGCTTTGCAATGGCGACTTTTCATAAAAGAGGCTGGGAATAATGCAATCAGCTCACTTTTCACTTTGGAAGGCTTCGTATTTTGAAATGAAAGGAGAAGCGCTTAAAGGAAGGGCGGCAGAGCGGAAGGACAGAAGGTTTTAAAAATGGGATTCAGTTTGCAAATCTCTGCATACCTAAGTTTCCTATTTACATGGGGGATGCGCCAGAAATCATTCATTATGGTTAAATCCTCTTTTTTCAAAAACACATGAAAAATCCTGAAATAAGTATTTTCCCTTGTTATAGAACATGACAAATATACATTTTACAAAAAGAAACTCCCTCAACACTTACATGTGGAATGCTGGAGGGATAAACAATCATTCAAAAATTCTGGAGGTTCTGGAGGTTGAATTCAGTCAGCTGACTGATTTTCCCAGGCCTTTCTTGAAGCAGAGAGACCAGAACACTCAGGTTCAGCCTGCCTGCTTGCCTGCCTGCCTGCCTGCCTCCCTTCCTTCTCTCCCTTCCTTCCTTCTCTCCCTACCGTCCTCCCTACCCTCCTTCCTCCTGTCTAATCGGGTCTGTGTCTCTTAGCATTTTCTTGATCAGACAAGGGCAGCAACTATAGCCACCTGCAATGACATTGTACATTTAAAATTAGTTAAGCTGTTTACAACCTCTGACCAGGTCTTCTGGATGCACTACAATATACCAATAAAGCCTCAGAGGAGAACCTCAAACAAAGGCCATCTTCATGATTTCTGAAATGACTGTATGGAAATTTATCTTACACCAGCTCAATTCAAGCATGATGTTGCTAGCTTAGGCTGGCAGTAGCAAGTTGTGAGAAGGAGGAGGATAACAAGGAGGAGGAGGAGGAGGAGGAGGAGGAGGAGGAGGAGGAAGAGAAGGAGAAGAAGAAGGAGAAGGAGAAGAAGAAGCAGAAGCAGAAGAAGAAGAAGAAGAAGCAGAAGAAGAAGAAGAAGAAGAAGAGCGCTCTCCTTTCACCGATGCTTCCAAGCTGAGGGGGGCAAAGAGTTTTCTTTGGTCCCACCTTGGACAGGGAGGAGGTCAGAAGGAAGCTCTAACCCCATGCAATATTTGGGGGAGGGATAGACGTCCGTGGGGCGGATGAGTCCAGGGTCAAACAGAGGACCTTCCCTGTAGCAGCACCCAAACTCAAAAGTAGCCAGCTGAGGCCTCCTTCCATACCTTCTCTTTTAGGCAATGCATCAAAACTATTTTATTCTTTCACCCTGCCGGCTGGCAATAATACCGTAATCTCTATTGCTATTTTAATCTTCTCTTATTTTTGCTGGCTGAATAATCTTTGATTGCTTGCTTTCAGTCAAATGTGGACATTATTATTATTATTATTATTATGATGATGATGAATAATTGTATTCCAGGATGTAAGCTGCCTTGAAGACTTGCAAACCGAAAAGCTCCCTTTAAAGCGTTAACGATTTCTGTAGTAAAGATTAAGACCATTTTGCCCCCAGCCAGGTCAGTCTGGCAGAGAGCGAGGAAGTAGGAGTAAATGCTGCCTCCAAGCTAGGGGGGTCCAGGCCCTTCTTACAACTCAAATGACCCAGGAAAGCGGGGGGAGCGTCTTACATGAAAGGGCAGGAACAAAAGGGGATGATCTCCCTGCTCCATAAAAGGATTACTGGGCCCTCTTCAGATACGCCTCCCTGGGCAGGAAGTGGGGAAGTCCCTTGGAAAGGGGCATCAGCTGGATAATTGGATCAGCACCTGGCAAGGGCAGCAGGGACATTCATGGGCCGGCCAAGAGTGACCAACGGGCGGTCTTGCCTCTCATGGGAAGAAAAAGAGCCAAACGCCAAGAGTTATGGAATACCAAAGAAGAATGAGCCTTTCCCTTTCTTAGAAGGCAACTGGGGCTTTTTGGTGCAGAGCAAGACATGGTGAAGACTTCCAGGAGAGCAAAGTGGGGCCTACCCTCTCTTGGGGACCTTAACTGGAAAGGCTCAAAGTGGAGCTGGAGATGTGTGTGTGTGTGTGTGTGTGTGTGTGTGTGTGTGTGTGTGTGTGTATCTTCAAAACACAAAGCGTGTCTGGGTCAGCTCACTTCTTCCCTCTCAGTTGCAAGGTGGGGACAAGATGGCTAACAGTAAGGAAGCACCAACTGGCCTTCCAGGCATTTTCTTCTCTGCTCTGACCCTCCAGGCCCACGGAATTACCCTTGTGCCCATCTCGTCCCCTTCAGCATGGATGCAGAACGCAGAATCGTCCTTGGTCCAGCTTCCAGTGGCGATGCGCACCTTCACTCCGGGCAGCGGAGTCCCAACTGACCCTGGGAAAGAGGAAAGGAAAGCTGATGAAAAGAGCCGCACGGGAAGAGACAAGTCCCAACAGAAAACGAACCATCGGGGTTGCCCAGCAGGTGAGAGTGACCGAGTACCAGGTCGTTTGTGCAAACGCACCTGAAGGAAAGGCTCCATCCTTACCCTCTGGATTGCACTGCGCCAATTAGCAGCTCAGGAACGCCCTCCCAGGACCCGGCACCTGAGAAGACTGCTGGGCTTGACCCTGATTCTTCCAACCCCCGTTATAAAGAGGAAGGAGGGGTGAGGCTTCTTGCAGAACATTTATGGCTAGGTTGCAACGGCAGCACAGCAACTTAATTATGGCAAAGGGGAGAGAGCCCTGTCCACCCCACCCCAGGGGAGGAAAACAGGCAGCCTTGAGTCGTCTCATTCAGTTTCTGGGCTGCCAAAAGAGACACGTATATAAAGGAAGCTTCAGAGAGAGCTGGCTTATTGCTTCCCTCCACCCCTCCAAATGACAAGCCTTTGTAAGCGGAGGTCTCTAAAAGGCTGGAAAATGCAGACAATGTTAATTATAGTGATGCCACTACGGCAGTGCAATTAAAAGTCTTTGTGTGAAGACAATAACTTCTTTGGGCTTTTAGGGCCCGAGTGACACTTAAAAATTAAGTCTGCCTGGGTAACGGAGGGTCCAATCTGGCTCCTGGGTGATGCAAGCGAAGATGGGGGAGGGGAGCAAAGAGGACTCAAAAGCACCTCGAGAGTTAAAAAATAATTTAAAGCAGCCTTTGTTTCTTTTTCACTTCTGGCATTTAACCACGTAACCGGGAAGAAATTGCTGCCCCTGCGAGTTAAGAGCTCTTGGACATTTGTCAAACTGGCTCTCCACCATCATCCTGAGACAGGCAGCTGTCAGCGCCAGGAGTGACCCTATTAGTCGCCCGGTTCCTCCTCTGTTTAAGTTAGTTGTCAGCCTTTCCCCGATACATTTAATTGGCCCTGGGCTCTGTGTCCTTTGGTATCGGGGGACCGGGATGCTGTTATGCATGGCAATGTCCTGGGAGACTTGAAACAGGCCCACACTCTTGCTGTCAACCATCGACGGAGTCTCCTCTGTAGGAGCTATTAGCCACCTCTGATCTAAACCTCCAATTAAAGTGGTGATTAGGCCCAGCGAGGCATTCACTGGCCATGAATTATTCATCTCCCTTCACAGTAACAACACCAAGGGGGATTCGAGGAAAGGGGGAGGGGGGGGGGGGGAGGAAAGGACTGCAGGAAACAGAAGCATTTTAAGCAGAGGTTTAACCATCTACAATCAAAACATTTCTCTCTCAATCTCTCATCTCCTCGCCTCTCAAGCAAAAGCTCCCCTGCACCCTCAGATCTCAGCACCTTGACAGAAGAAGCACGGGCGGGGCGAGGGCTTGCTGAGGTCTGGAGATGATCCCTGGAAGGGGGGGGGGGGAGAGAGAAGCCAGGTAAAGGGAGATGCCTCTGCAAGGGCAAAAGGGGGCATAAGGAAAGACACGTTTGAAGAGAAAAAGTAGAGCAAGCGATGATTTAAGGGCCACAAGGCTCTCGCTCCAAGGACGGAGGCTGCAGGTCTTGGGGTACCTGCAGAGGATGATTAAAAAAAGCCAAGATGGCAGCTGCAATGGTGCGATCCAAGTGCTGCGCATGCAGCTCACATTAAAAACAGGAGGACCTTTGACTGCACTGTGAGGGCTACCACATTTACTTTTTTACCTAGAGCCTCCTCTGCTTGGGCATCTGTCTGCACCACAGAGAGAAGCCAAGGAAAGCGGGAGCGTTGCCCCTCTGCCAAGTTCAATGGACATGGCAGGGCCCGGCGTCTCTCCTCAACAGCCTGCAGAAGGAGCTGTCCAGTGCTGAAGCTCCTGGCTCTCCCCGTGTTCTTGGCCTTTCTTCTCTTCCTCCCAGGAGGCTCCCATTCTGTCCTCCTGCCAAATGGAAGGGGGCGAGGGAGGGCCGTTGCTATCTAACCCGAACACCTTAAGGGTGCAAATTGTGTTTGCAGCGGCAATGCACATCTCCGAGATTCAGTTTATCACCAAACTCCATTTGGGGTTTGCCCTTCATCAAAAATACCTCAAGGCAGAGAAGCAGAGATAATTATCTGCCTCGGGGGATTTTTTTGAAGGGCGAAACACAAGTCGAGTTCAGTGACAAATTGAATGTTGGAGGGGGATTCAGGTAATGCAGCTCAGGCAAGTCTGGCTCACCTGAAAAAGATCCCCTGCCTGAGCAGGTTTGATCTTAAGAAAGACCGAAGCTTTTCGGAGGGGTCACGGTACAAGGTAAGCCTCCGCTTGCATATAAAATGCCAAGGCTTCAGTCCACCCAACCCTCAAAGCTGCCAAACTAGATTTTATCAAAACGAAAAGGCCTGTCTGTCCAACTCTCTCCCCAAATGCCTCTAGGAAACCCACAAAGGGGATGTGAGGCTCACCACTCTCGCTGCCTTTTCTCACGGAAAGGGTCTTGCAGCAGAAGATGGGACTAAAGGACTGGCCAACAAGTTGACTTAAGGTATATTTTTATATGTCTTGCAAAGATTTATGTTCTGAAATTCTGGGGTGGTGACTTAACTCTTCCACTCTTCCATGTTCACTGCTTTGCCCTCAAGAGAAATGAGCAACAGGTCAGCCTGTAGGCCAGGATCTCCAAGAAGAGAGCATTGGGGACACCTGTCTTCAAACCCTCCCGATGATCCGAGAAGCCTCCCCTGGGCCTTTGGGGATACCAGGGGTCGGTTGGGACACGTGCTAATTAAAAGCAGGGACAGCCGACGGTCTCCTGTGGGGGAAAGAACCCTCGCTTTGCCTCATCGTGCTCCATCCAGGTTCTGCTAGTGCTGAAGCATTGCTCTTCTTTTCATGCTTATAACGTGCAGGATCTATTGCGATGCCAGCGGGAGCTTCGAAGCCGCTCGCAAACTCTCTCTGGAGCCTCACCTGGAACACGAGGGCCGTGCAGTGGGTTGGAAAGGGCCATCCCAATCTCTGTCATCCCATATCTCTCCAGGAGAACGTGCCCCGTAAGTCTCTTCCATCTTTCTAGGACCGGCACCGGGAGGGCCGAGGACCCCGATACCATCAACCTGAAAGCGGAAGGGCCAGTGCGCGTCAGGCACCTTGCAAACAGGAAGGGCAGAAGACCTGCTGCAAGTTCTACCCCAAGCTGAGGAGCGATAGAGAGCACCTCTTTTCAACAGGGAGATCAACCTCTCAGGAGGGACTCCCACAATCGGGGCAATGCAGGAAGCCCCCTTCACATCTGGCTGCAGGAATCGCCTCTGGACAATCACCCGGGACCGTGCAAAACAGCCAAGCGTCACCCCTCAGGCCAACCTGCCCTGAAGCCAGATGCCGCAGCCACTGCCATGTACTGAGGAAACAGGGCAGGCCTTGCTCTTACAAGGTGGGAACATCAGCGCGAGGCCTGGACTCCTGCCAGAACAGAAAACGGGCTCTGCATTTCCATCCTGGAATCCAGAGTGGCAGCTGCAGAAATGTGACAGATGGTTTTGAGCAAAGAAAGAGGTGGTGAGCCTGGATAAATCTGCCCTCAGAGAGTCAGCAGGGCACGCAGGCAGGCGGAGGACCAGCTCCAGTCTTCCAGGAGGAATCCTCTCTCACTGCCCGGATGGGCCCTTGCAGGGAGTGAAATGCTGCTGGGCCTCTAAAGGCAGCCTCAGAAACAAGGTCACTGCGTGGCAGGGATTGCTTGGGGGGCGGGCAAATCATCCCCGTCCCCAAAGCATCTCAGAAGGAAGTCCCAATGGCCTTGGAAGGGGGTAAAGCATTACTTACTGAGCCCCAAGGCTCTCTTCCTTCACAGCCCCCTTTAACCCGAGATCTGTTTTCCATTTATTGCCACAACTCCAAAATTGACCACAAAAAGCAATTGCTCTCGGTTAAAAATATCAATGTTAACCATGTTGAAAAGCCTGGGCTCTGGGCTCACCCTGAAAGACAGCAGTAACGACAGCCGGCAGGTGGCTCATGGCGCTGGCCGAGGAAAAGCCTCGAAGGAACAACCTCCAGGGACGGGTCGATGAGAGGAGGAGGAGGCAGCCCAACCCCACCCAGGTCCTAAGCCCTTTGGGATGGAAGCCAGCAGTTTTCCTAGGCTGCCTTGGATTGAACCCGCTTCCCAATGGGGATAGCCCAGCCTCCAGTTGGACCAGGGTGTTCTGGGGAAATGTGCTTAATTTCAGGCTCCCCGACTGGAGGATCTTCTCTGAATGCTTGGAGAAGTTCAGGCTGCCCCGAAGAGCAGGTGGGGAGGGGACTCCATGGGTCAAAGAAAGGGCTGGGCTGGGGGAAGAGAAGCTCTGCTCCGCTGGCATGAGACAAAAGGGGCTCACCTACCGGATATGGTCCTGGCAGACGGCATGGATGAAGTCCTGGACACGTGGCTGAGAGAAATGCTCCTCGTAGTAAGCGATCAGTTTGCTGTAGATGGTTGGCACTGCCATAAAGATGTTGACCCGGGGGGCCTGGAGGCTCAGGAGGGCTGCCCAGACCTGGAAGGAAGAGAGGGGAAGCGGCGGCTTCACAACCTGCTCTGAAAAGATTCCTGCACACGTGGGAGATCCCTCTGCCCAAAGGCCCACACAAGGCGCTCTGGTTCTGCCCCAGGCAGGACCCAGAGGAGGAAGAGTCAACAGAGGGAGCATCAAGTCATCGGGGAACCAAACCACAAGCCGGCACTAAGCCACACACGGAGCGAATGCTTGTTCCCCAATGCCCTGTGACAGGCACAGACAGAGTCAAATCTTCACATCCAGCCAGATCACTGGGGCTTCCCAAAGCTGTCAGCCCGAGGAGTCAGCCGAGCCTCGTCATTAATATTTAAGCTTGGCTAATTTGCCCCCAACTCTGCCGCTGGTCTCCCTGAGCGAGCAAAGGAAGAACGGAAAACCTATGAATAAATAAAAGACGGTCTCGGCTCTGTTATGGCAACCTTTTCTGTCCTGTTGCTGACAAATGTATTTCCTAACAACTCCTGACACTTGGGGGCCTTCCAGCCTTCTCTGGCGCAAAGACGCATGCCAGGGGGGAAATGAAGGCCTGGAGGCGGGCATTCCTCCATTCCCACTGCCAAAGCCCACCACCCTATACTTATTTATTGTTAAAGGCTAAACGTGGACACATCTTCACTCAACTCGTGATGGCATGGCATTGGCCGAAGCACGGGTTGACAGAAAGAGAGAAAGATGCCGGGCGTGGCAGGGAAGAGCTGGGCTGCCTGTAAGAGGAGGAAGAAGGAGAACACAGAAGGCATCTTCTAATCACCCGCAGAGGGAAGGCGCTTCAGTCCCTAAATGGGTTTTAGTTGAGAGCGAAGGCTCATCGTCGGCTTCTGTGGGAGCCATCACCAAAGAGGCTCTGGGCGGAGGGTTTCTTCTTCGGCAGAATTCAAGTTGGCAATCAATATTTATGCCCTGGGCACGTGATGCTAGGACAGGATAAATATATTACATAGAATACTCTGCTGGGGGCACCCAGAGGATCTCCGGAAGCTGAGCAGGGTGATGCTGCCAGGGAAACAGACCGGGCCCTGCTTCAGAGCAGAGCTCTGGTTTGTCTGCCCAACAAGAGGCTTTCCTGCTGAAAGGCTGGGAGCTGCTGCCAGTCAGTGTTGGCAATACTGGGCAAGATGGGTTGATGCTCTGTTCTAGAAAAGCCGTGATGGCTGGGGAGTTCTGGAAGAGGAAATCCTCGCATTTTAAAAGTTATCAAGTTTGGAAAACACTGCTCTAAATGCTTTCCAGTTGATCCAGACAGCTAAGGCTCTCCTTGACACAAGTAATCCAGCTGAGCAGTACTGCAAGGGAACACTCTGCTCCCAGCATGATCCCCTGCGCACTCCCGGCCTCGGAGCCCCCTGGATGTTTCCTTCCTTCGCTACGCTGACCGTTGTCTTCCCTCACTTGGGGCACCGCGAGTTGACTCAGGAGAGCAGACAATTCAAGTCAAATGCCAAAAGAGCAAACAAAACCATGGAGACCCACCTGGCAGCCGAGTCCGGTGATCAGTGCAGGGGCAGGGAGGGCCCTGGGCTGGCGCATGCCAGGACAAAAAGTGGCCAGGGACACAAGCCCTCTTGACCTGTGTGGGTGCTCTCCAGAGAACCAGGCTTGGCCACCCTGGAGACAATAAACAGGCTGCCAGGTTAGGTGGCTGAATGCTTGGATGCACCTAGAGAGGGTCACCGCTGAGGCCCCTCCAGCTGCCAGAGACCCAGCTCACCTGGGCGGCTTCCTCCATGGGGGCTCTTGCTCTTTGCTACACCCTCAAACTGTTTCCGTGCTTGCATGGCTCGGTTTTAATCAGGTCTTCATCTGTCCACTTAGTTATGTCTTCCGTGTTGTGGGCTACCTCCGCTTTTAAACCCCCGCTCTGCTGATGGCACGTTCAAAGGAGCAAATACTTTCCCCGGCCTCAGGAATCTAACAAAATATGACAGGCTCCAGTTTCCTATTTTTTCCCTTAATAATCTCTCCCTCCCTTCTTCCCTTCTCCACTTTCGACATCAAAAGGCATTACTCTGCAGCAGAAGCTGAGGACAAATGGCAGTTCTGGCAAGAAGGAAAGGAAAACAATAACTTTTTTTTCCAAGTGGGGATTTGAGAAATAGAGCCTGTATAATCTGCCACTGGTGACTGCCCCTCGAATGCCAGCATCCCCCTCCTAGCAGGAAGCAGATGAAAAGAGGAAGGAGAATCAATGTAATGGAGCTGGGGGTTGGGAGGGAGAGAGGACATGCATAACTTTCTCCAAGGACAGCCAAATGTTGAGGGAGCTATGTCAAGTTTTTGCTCACCCCACTTTCACAGAAAATAAGGTGAATGTTTATTGGAAGAGAATTAGATGAGATTGCAGAAGTTGTTTTTTCCCTTTTCAGAATCCAATTCCTCTCCCACGTTCTGCCAGGGGATGCGTCCTCGGTCTCTTTCTCACGGCCTGGCACAGCACGTCGCAGGCTTAAACCAGGGCAGGATAATGGCCTCGGCCTCACTGCAAAATCCCCTCTCTGCAAATAATCTGTTTGGATCTCCCAGCCTGCTGACCAGGGGGCGGAGGGAAGTAAAGGGAGCTGGAAAGCAGCCTCAGAACGACAGAAGGGTCTCCCTGTTCAGACTCGGTCTGATCCTGTAGCAGATCTGCGCTGTACAGTTTGCTCCATGCTCCTTTTTCCACTTCTTGGTTTAGTTAAATGTGAAGATAGCAGAACGTGAGCCAGTCGGGAAGTTCCCTGACCCAGAAAGGCTTGCCTCTCTGATGAATTCCTGAAAAGAGGCCCCGGTCTTTTCCTGTTTTCGTCTTAGCTGCTGCTTCCACACAGCCTTCCCTGAGGCCCTGGATAAACTTTGGATGCCAAGTGAAGGGGAGCCTCCATGGGGCTGGAGGAGAGGCCTGGCCACACCACAAGGCCTCATTCTGCCACTGCCCGTCCTGTCAAGTTCTCCCAAGAGCAAACAAGGGGAGCAGCCCCAGACAGCGTTCCGTTCAACGCTCCGGTTGCTTCTAACACATTCCCGGACAGGACGCAAGGAAAACAAGGCCAGGATATCCGAAGGCCCGGCCGCATCTGACCCTAAACCGAATATGGTAGGCAAATGACTGAACTCGGCCCCCACCTGTATCTACAACCAGAGGGCCACGCTGCCAATTAAGTAATCTAATGAACACTGTAATAATAAAGTATTTATTGCACATAATGAAGTGTTAGTGATTAGAAAGGTTGGGTGTACTGCTGCGGTTTCTGCTGAACCCGTGCCAGTATCACTCAAGGCAGAATCGGTGGCAGCAGCCGCTGCTTTAGAAGCTGGTCCTGACTTTGCTTTGATTGACATGTCGGCCATCAAAGCGGCGGTTCCTTTATATCACTCTGTAATTGACTGCTCTCTCGAGGTGCAGAGAAACAGAAACACAAAAGGCTGAAGGAAAACCGAGAGCTCCTTCTGAGAAATCCTCTGACGAAACACACCGCTTTGCTGAGAGCCAATTTCGGAAGCAAAGGGCACTTTGTAAATAGGCAGGAATTTAAAGACAGCTTGTGTTAAACACAACAAGAAAGCACAATTTGCCCTCGTGCACTTCCTTTGTCGTGTCAATGAAAACACTTTCCTGCTCCCTCGGGAGGCTCTTACACAAATAATGACAGGGGAAAGAGTAAACAACGGCAAAGCAACACAAAGGCTCTCCGGACGCTTTCGCATGGAGGAAAAAGGGCAGGCGGCTGGTCTCTGGCTCGTCCTTCTCACACCAAGAAGCTGGTCCAGCAAAGGACCTTTTGGAGAGCTGCCCTCGACTGCCACAGCCCGAGGGGGGCGGCCGAGCTGCCTCCCACGCCTCATAGAATCCCAGGGCTGGAAGGGGCCTTGGGCGTCTTCTAGTCTGACCCAATCTTTTGTGGCCCAATCTTTTCTTGAAAAACCTCCAGCAATGGAGCAGCCAGGACTCTCGGAGGCAAGCTCTTCCATTGATTAAATGGCTACAGCAACACCCCCTATTGGAGAAGGAAGGCTAGTTTTGAAGCCTTTCAGATGGTAGCAGCCCTCAGCAGGGGGCCACAAGTGGAGGAGGCTGGCAGAGGAGTCCAATAAGCCAGAGCGGGATTGGCTGGCCTTCCCTTGGCAATACAGCCCCCTTGGCAGGCACCTATCCTAGGACGAATCGCCACAGGGGGTGCAAATTGGCAGCTGTTGTGGAGACGGATTTCAATGAAGTAGAAGGGGAGTGCCAGAGCTAGAGACTGGAACCAGGGGCTCATTTCACTCATGGAGCCCCCAAGGCTGGAGCATCTCCCCAAGCTGAAAGGATCTCCTCTACTGGAGCCTTCTGCTCACTGGCTCCCTCAGAAGGAACAGCTATCAAAGCTTCCTGCTCAAGACAGGAAAGGAGGGCATTTCCTGACGATGGCTTTTTCTGGGCAAATGGGCCTTTTAACCAACACGTCATACATAAATAGTAACCCTGGCTGAGAGGCGATGAACGACAGGAGGACGGTTCTGACTATGCCTACAACTGCTAGGATTTTCACCTGATATTTACTTTGCAGATGTGCAGCCCCTCCTTTTCTGTCACATCATCAAGGTCGAGAGAGGCTTCCGGGCATAAATGTCCCGGTCGAATTCCCAGCTCTCGGCATCCTCCCTGCAAGCATTTCACAACAACGGAACTGCTGTGTTGCGCCTTTCATCTGCTTTCCCGGGGCTCCCTCTACGATAAAGTGGATGCATCAAAGCTCCATCCAGTCCTGGAGCCATGATCTCAGCATCTGGCACAAGGTTTGTGCTGCTGCCACAGCGGGAGACTCACCACCCCGAAGGAGATGTGGGGGACACCAACCAGCAACTACTTCAAAGAGCCCCTTGACTGCAACAGGCCAAGCACCCCCTTCCCTGAAAATCTGTTAAGAGCTAAAACCCGCTTAGAGGGTCTCTTGCCTTTTCCTATTTAAAAAAAAAATCACACACCATCAAAGGCAAACAAAACTACAAATCTGTAACCCAGACCAAGTGCTACAGGACCGTTCAATCGGGAAAAAAGACCAAATTTCCGGTCTTTGCAACTTAAGAGAGAAGGAAGCGGCCCCTTCCATTCCAGCCCACTTACCTTTTCTGCACTAAACTCAGGCAGCATGATGCAGGTGGCCCCCACCCAGAGGGGGCACAGCAGTTTGTTGACCACCCCATGGACATGATGCAAGGGCAGGACATGGAGAATGACATCATCGTTTGTCCAGGCCCATTTCTCAACCAGCCCGGTTATCTGCAAGAAAAATTAAGCAACGTTCAGTATTAGGGGGGAAAAACAGAATTCCACAGTCCAAAGATTGCTTCAAACCGATTGCTACGTTCTGGATTGTAACTCACGATTCTTATGTGAGCCCCAATGCAGAAGACCAACTATCAACTCACCATAGCATGGACATTCTGGTGACTGCTTAGGACTCCCTTGGGCCTTCCCGTAGTCCCACTAGTGTAGATGATCATGGCCCCCCTGTTCTCCCATTCTGAAATGGGGCAACCGGCATCACCAGCGGATCCATCCGTTCTCCCTTCCCACTTCCCGGACTGGGGAAGCGAGAGCACAGGCACACCCAGTTTCTCAGCAGTAGGGGTCATTTTGTCCTCAAATTCTTCCTCCGCAAGCAGAAGGGCACTCTGAGAGTCCTGGATGAAGTACTCCAGTTCCGACACAGGATGCTTTCTGTACAGAGGCACAGCAATACCTCCACTCATCCAGGTAGCCCACTGGGCCACGACATAGGAAGCATCGTTGGGGCACAAAAAGGAAATCCGTTCGCCCTTCAGGTCACCATCTGAGTTTCCAAGGGCCTTGCAGATTTTCTGGGAGAGGCAAAGACTTTGAGCGTACAAATCTTTGTAGCTGTGTTCTCCTCTTTGGTCAATGATGGCCACCTTTTCTCCAAAGGCCGATGCTCTGGTGAAGACAGGGGCAACTTTTCTATAAGCCGATATCCATCTGGCGGGCAGCTCTATGAGAGCACAGAAATTAGTCCGGAGGCTGAAACAGTCACGTCCTTGAAGAGACTGACAACATGCAAAAACACGGGTCAAACGCCTCCTGTTAAAAAGCAGGCAGGAGCCTAACATTTTCTCTTATTCCTTGGATAAAAGTGGTGCTGAAAAAAAGAAAGGCAAAAACTAAAATCAATCCAAACACTAGGAAAGAGATACAACATATAGGGAACGTAATCTGTTTTCTTTTATGATAAATATTGGGGAGATAATGTTAGACCCAGCAAGAATTGTAAAGAAACAGGGAGCAAATATGAAAAATCTTCTTCATGTATTTGGAAAACCACAAAGTCACACATTCAACAGCTTAAAGCCTACATTAACTGAAGGAACGATATATAGGCTTGTTTGTAGAGAGGTGATGAATATATAGTATTATTTCCAAACGGCTCAATATTACAATAAAGCTCACAGTAAATAAACTTCTGAATGCGTTACGGAACAAGGTTTAGTCTTGCTCCAAAAACATAACTTTGACCAGCTATGTACAAAGCAACCCACCCAAACCTTTCTTTCTTTCTCAGATGTATCAATCTTCCCCAGTTTTCAATGTCCACTGTAAGAAGTTGCTTGTACTTAGGAAAAGCTTTTAACCAAATATATCATTAAAAAACACTTCCAAGGGCAGCATCTTTCCTTTGTTTCATTTCACACATTCTTCCCTAGAAGCATGGTTGTTTTTTTAATTAAAAAAAAAAAACCCTATGCATTTGTGCATGAGCCTGGCTCATGAGCCTGGCAAAAGCTAAAATCATCTTCTCTAAATTCGAGGTCTCCGAAAACAGTTTCTGTCTGATGGAGGCAGAGATGGCAACCATTACAAGAGGTGCTAATTGGGAGTCCACACAATCACACATTCTCCTATGAGACAAGTTGCTGCAGTTGAGTGATATCCTCAAAGGGTCTTCACCATGTCCTCTATTCAAGTGTGTGTGTGTGTGTGTGTGTGTGTGTGTGTGTGTGTGTGTGTGTGTGTGTGAAGCAGGGTGGATAAAAATCAATGATTTTTTTTTAAAAATCAAAAGAATCAGATTTTTTTGATTTAAATCAGATTTTTTTGATTTTTATCAAATTTATTTTAATAAAAACTTTGGGGGTAAAAATCTATCGTAAGATAGTTTTCTATTTAAGATACATAAATAATTTAGTTTATTCAGCATGAAATGGAGTTTAGTTATGTAGCATGAGGCTGTATATTCTGCAACACTGGGACCATCGGTGAGTCAACAGCGGGTCAAAGGAGTAGCAGAGATGACAGTTGCTCTTTAAAAATTATGATTTAAATCGAGTTGATTTAAATCAAGCCTTTTTACTAGTGATTTAAATCATGATTTAAATTGTGATTTAAATCAACTCGATTTAAATCAAATCCACCCTGGTGTGAAGGTCACAATTTTGGATCACTTGGCACCAATCTTTCGCACACATTCTCCTTCTGGCTGGCTGCTCCAGAGACTAACATCACGGCCTCCAAAGCTTGTCTACTGCAGGATTCTAATTCATTGGCAGCTGCTGAGAGAGGGAGATATTACTCACCATTTCTACAGTTTAACCACCGTCTCCCCCATTTACCAACCACCAAAATATGCTCTGGATTTCGACAGCTACCTCCAACTAGAAAAGTGCCATTACTTTGGGGCAAAAAGGCTGAATTACAGAGAACAGACATAAGGACTAACAATGATCCTAGGCCTGAAACCCTGGAGGTCCCTTCCAGCCCTGGGATTTGGAGAAGGTGCGCGAGGTTGGGGCGGAGTTCACGCCTGATGCCGGAGGGCTGCCTGCGTGCTTTGGGAGGCCTGCCTGCCAGGGACCTGGGAGGTTGACCTAGAAGGCCTCCAAGGTCCCTTCCAGCTCTACTCGGATGGATGGAGGGATGCTTCCGTCGGGAGGCGGCCTCCTTGCAGTCCCAGTTCTTTGGCTGCCTTGTCTCAGGTCTTCTAGTCCAGCCCGCTGCGCCATTTGAGTCCAGTCCAGAGTCTCTTCTTCCAAGCCTCCAGGGCTTCTGAGGAGGGAGGGAGGCCGGGCGAGGGAGACGCTCCCAGGCAGGCAGGCAGGCAGGCAGCCCCGAGGGACGGAGGGAGGGAGGGAGGGAGCGCAGCCCCTTCGGGCGTCAGGCGGGAACTCCGCCACCACCTCCCCGGGGGCCATTCGCAGCTTCTCAAAGCCGAGGGGCAGGAGAGGGACCCCCCCGCCCCCTCCCACCTCTCAGCCGCCGCCCCGAATCCCACGAGGCGCTCCCGCACCTGCCCCCGAGGAGGAGGAAGCGCCCCCTGCTGCGGATGGCCCCCTCTTCCCGCCTTCCCCCCCCCCGCCCCGGCTCCCCTCCGCCCGCCTCACCGCCAAGAAGGGCCGGCGCCGGGCACGCGGCCTACCGGGTCCGTCTGCGAATGGCGTCCCCCCCGGGAACGAGAGCCCGCCGCACGCGTTCCGGAGGCCGCGTGAGGTCATCCGCCCCGCCCCCGGCGTCCTGACGTCAAAAGAGCCCTCGGTGACGTCTGCCTCTTGCGTCAGCGGTGCCCACACGGGGCCGGGCGCCGATCGCAGGGGGGGGGGCTTTCGGTGGGCGGGGGAGCGGAGCCTGCGCCCCTCCCCTCCCCTGGCCTGGGCCTGGCCTGGAATGTCCTGGCTTGACCCCTGGGCTCCTGGACAGGCCCGCTGCCGGCTGGGAACGAGATTCCCCTTCTGCACGGGAGCTTTTAAATATGGAGGTTAACAACTCCTCCTCTGTTGCCTTCTTTCTCCACCTTGGCAGCTGGAAGATGGGCGCACTTCAAGTCCCGAAATTCTGAGAGTTGAAATGTGCACGTTTTAAAGTCATCAAGCTTGAAAAACACTAATTTACAGCAATAAACAGGCTGTAAATATATATTTCTCTCTCTATATATATCAATATACCTAGAGAAATATATAGAGAGAGAAATATATTGAAAAGATAGCTCTGGCTCTCAAGCACAGTTGGAAGCTTACAGTGTGACAAAAGCTAAAAATATTCTTTTGAACTCTATAGCTAAAAGATGGAATCTGAAACTGACAATGTAAATGGACTCTCCTTGCTCTTATTACGGCCTTTTGGCCGATTAATATTGCAACATTGGGAAGATAAAAGTATAGGCCCTCTCAACCAACGGATTGAAGTCCTGAGTGCACTTGTTACCTATGAACGGAGATGTAGATTTTGTACAGATATGTATGATGGAATATGGAACACGTTTATATAAAATACAGAAGATTAAAGTATTTAGATAAATGCATTAGAAATTAATGTGTATGGACTGTACTTGAATAATATTTACATTAGATAAGTATATAGAATCGTAACTTAATTGCTAGTGATATACTTTTTTCTTTTCTTTTTTTCTGTTCTACTATGTACATGTACTGTGTACATGTAGTTTTTGTATGTGTTTGCATTACAATTATCTCTTTGTTTTGGTTCTTTTTCTATTATTTTTTAAAGCAATAAAAAACAAATAAATAAGCACCGTTGGAAGGCCTGTCTTCCTCTTTCCCTGATTGCTAATTCACCGCTTTCAAATTGAAGGGTTTATCCAGATCATTTGCTAGGAAGCCTTGTGAAAATCTTCCCCCGCCTCACATCTTACGCCCGTCTTCCAGCTTTCACTTCAGCGAGGCCCCTGTCAATGTCTGGCCGCTCATGGAAGAACAGAACAGCTTGTAAACCTGACTGTGACCAAGACCCCCAAGGCTCCGAAATGGAAGCACCAATTAAGCAGCCCCAAGAGGCTTCCAGCAGAAAGACCCCGTGATCTTTAAGTCAATGTCATGATTCCCCCCACTCTCCCAAAGGGAGGTATGCTGTCTAATAGATTTGAGACTGCCAAACCCTCGTCGTTTCACAGACCTGGGCCAACTCTGCACTTGAAGGCCCTTTGGCACCCAGCTTCATCTTCGCCTCCACAAGCAGAAGCATTTCCCACTCAAGGTTGAAGAGGGAAGGGGGCACCTCCAAATATCCTGAAAAGCACCATCCTATGGCTGAGCAGGTTACGGAATACAGCCCTCCTAGCTTAGCCTCTCAGACATTCTTGTTTTTATCTAAATTGTGAGCCTTTTCTATATCTGGACTCAGTGCTGGAGCCGGGGGCTGGGGAAATAGTGGAAATGCACCCTGGGTCTCTCCCACACAAAGGGTGATGTCCCACGTTCCTTCCAGGCTTGTGCTTCCCACTTAATGATCTCCAAAGTGCTGAGGGCAGCAGATTGCACCTTCTGCTCCATTAAATCCCCAGGGGAATCTCTCTGGCAGCTGTTTGGAGACACAGCACACACGTTCCATTAAGGGGACCTTCCTCTCTGGGTCACTGGCCATCGGGAAGCCAGCAGGAGAACAAAGACGGCTGCTGAAGAAGGCACCATCCATCTCCTCCCCACCCCCCCATATTCTGGGACTTGGGGAGCAAAGTGCCTCTGAATGACAAACGCTCAGCCTTCCTTAGACAGACAGGCAGATAACCTGAACGTTTGCTCCTGACAAGCGGGCTCCTTAAGGGAATGGCGTTATCCAGAGCCACAGCCTGCAGCATCTGAGAATGATTTTGAAGGACTATGGGGGAGGGGGAGGGTCCAGTAAAGGCAAATAGATCATCTTCCAGCGCAATCGCTCTCCTAGAAAACAATGGCCGCCCCCCTGGTCTCCCAAGGCAGAAAGTCCCATGGGTGAGAGAGACCACCGAGATGCCCTCTCTTCCAAGCAGCTCTGACTTGGCTGTGCTTCCCTTGGGAAGGGCGTCTTCAGCAGGTCTTAGCAGGGAGCTGTGGGGGGGGTGGCGGAGGGGATGGTCCTTGAGGCAGCCCAGATTTAAGCGCTTGGGAGGAAATTCCAACAGACAGAACTGCTGGGAAAGAAGCTGGTGAGCAGGGCAGCCTTCCAAGAGACTCTGACTGGAAGGCCTCCGACATTCCTGCAGCTGCATTCTGGGTCAGCTGCAGTTTCTGAAGACTCCATTGACCATCCTGGCTGGGAATGATGAGAGCAGGCAGCTGGAGGGTATCGCCTTTGGGGCAGAAGTCACTGGTGTGTGGATGCTTGCCAGGCTCCCATGGAAAGCAGCAGCCACCCTTGGAGATCCAGAGTGAGCTCTGTAACCGCGAGGAATGACCCCACATCCGGCAGAGGGCAGCAGTGTGAAATGCAAACTCCAAGCCCCACAGAATATGTCCAACTCAGCCGAGCGGGAGACAGAGGAGTTTCAAGGGCTGCTGGTGCTGCTGAACTTGCCTTTGCTGGCTTTGGCTTTGCTTGCCAACCCCTCCTCTACACCAAAAATCCCACTCGTTTTTCTTAAGCAAGCACTGCCAGGAGAGCACCCAGGATTCTTGGCTTTTAAGCCCTTTTGCTTAATTGGGGGGAGGGACCCATTCGTGATCCTGAATTTCCCTCACCCTTTCCTGAATACAAAGATTCCCTTGCTGATTTCCTTCGCTCTTGTTCTCCATCAGAATTTTTCTCTGTCTGTGTGTGCGAGCACATGTGTGTCAGAATGATGAAGGCGCTCTATTACTTTCCCAGCCCACTGTGGCACGGCCACCCGGTCTCGCTCTGCTTCCGCGGGGCTCTTGTTCTGCCCCCATTATCCTTGTCATTCACACACAGGCACCGCAAAGGGAAAACAACGTCAAGGGCCCAGCCACGTTGCTGTACTGCCTCCTGCAGCCTGCAGGTTCTAAAGTTTAGAGAGGAGAGAGCTTCACAGAGCTTTTCAACAGATAAAAAGACACAGACCTGCTCTCCTCTTTCTTCCATTTTGGAGGATGCAGGGAACCTCACTTTACAGCCCCTGAGCCAGGAGCCCAAGTCAAAGCTTTAGCTGCTGCCCCTCAGCCCCAACGAGAAGCCACCATGAGCTAGACATGGGTGTGGCTGGGGGTCCTGCTTCCACCCGTTAGCCCCCTTTGCACCTGCTCCCATCACTCACACAATCAATGTATACATTATCAATATATTTGAAGCTGTCCGTTGCTAGTATGCTGTATTGCATTTTAAACAGTATACAGTGATAGCCCCGTCAGTTGTCTGGAAAGTTTCAAGAAAGACTCTGATCTGTTACAAGGGCATTGGGAACTTCTCCAAGAACAAGTGGGGGCTTTGGGTCCTTGGAGGGCCTTTGAGGCGTGCGCGCACACACACAGACCCGTAATGTGGAGGAGCTTTTCATCCCAATAATTACCCTTCCCACACCCTGCAGAGTTTGCCTTCTTCCTCCCAGGCTGTCTGGGGGGAAGGGAGGGGAGGTGGCCCCATCTGGTGGGGGAAGGCAGGGGCTGAAGGAGGGACCCACCCACCCTACAGGTGCAGAAATGCTGGATTGGATTTTCCGTCTGCCTGCTGAGCAGCTAACTGTGGCCCCAGGGATGCAGTCTGTTAAACAGGGCTCTCACACCGCCCCAAGGAGCTGTGCAGGCCAGCCCTCTGGGGCAGCTGGCGGGCAGTTTAATCCAATTGATTGGAGCCTGGACTTTCTCACTATGCCAGGGAGCTTGGTGCCCCAGGGAGGCAGGTCAGGACTTGGGCAGAAAGGCAGAGAGAGGGCAGCCTCAACACCTCATTCTTGGGTTTAGTTCAGGAAAGAGGCTCCTGGCTGCTGTTTCCTAATCCCTAATTTGGGGAGAATCGTAGATCAGAGAAGGACCAACATTTTGACCTGGGAGATTCCCCATGATCAATTCTGCATTTCCTGGCACAGAGGGGATAGGAAATGCCACCTCTGCCCTACCTGAACCGACCTTGGATTACAAGGCCATTGCTCTGATGCGGGGCAACAGAGTATCCCATTCCTCCAAGAGCTGGAAAGCTCGCTCAATTTCCTAAACATTCCCACCTGCTTTTGAGCTTATTTTTGGACCATGAAGGGCTTAGAGCCACTTTTTCAAGATAATTTGCAGGATGCTAATTTCTGCCTTTAAAACATTTTGTATTTTTACATATTGTGTTCATGGAAAACCTGGTGGGTGGATTGAGAGGAGCCATATGTTAGGTTCAGTCTTGGCCTCAAAAGGAGGAGGATGGTAAGGATGATATTTTTATGTTATTGTTGTTGTGTTTTTTTTTTATTTTTTTATTTTATTTTTAATCTAAAATAAAACTTTTTCAAAAAAAAAAAAGAGGAGGGAGGTTGTTTAATTGGGAACGGGGGTTTCCCAGTGAAATCCACCCCGGCTCCAATGCTGTCGGGCTCAGTTTATTCCCAGGTGAGTCTCTTGCCCCTTGTCCCATAATGCTGGTCTCCTACCTCTCCAGGACTGTTAAAAGCCCCGACTTAGTGTGCCCAACTAAGTGGCAGCAGTGATTTGACCTTGGTTGACCTGCTTAACTCTTGTATAGGAATTCCACCAGGAACTCCTGGGATGGGAATTCTAAAGCCTTCCTGGGAAAAAAGCGAGGTACCAATAAAGGAGAATATTTGTAGCTCACGGTTGAAATGAGGGGTCCTTGGTGCTCTCTGAGCTTGGACAAGGCAAGGACCAGCCACTTCCCAAGACAACCGCAGAGATGGGTCCCAGAGGTTTCCAGAAGTCCCGTCCAATTGCAGGAAGGTTTTCTCTCGAATGTATACACAAAGCACACGCCTTGCACCCCGCCATACCTAGGAAGGGACCCTGAAAAGCTGCCTCTGGCCAACGGCAGACAGGAGGATGTGCTTGCACTGCTCTTGGCCAGTTTCTTTAAGAGCACGAAACAGCCCAGCCACAGCCAGGTCTTCTGGGGACATTGGGAGCCCTCAAGGCTTTGCTTTGGAAGACTTGCTCCTCAAGGAAACCGCACAAAAACAGAACCCCCCTGGATTGTGGGAAGGCAATACACGAGGAGAGAAAAGGCAGATTGGGGAGTGTGCTATGTGTTGCCTGAGAAAGCCAGAGACAGAAAAAAACCTCCACTGAATTGCCTTGGGACCGAATTGGATCAAGATCCTTCGACAGCTGCTCAGGTCAGCCTTTCTGGGGGGTGGGGAGCATTGTGAACTCCTGTTATCCCCCTCCTGGCAATCACAGCCCCTTCACTTGCCCTCTTGGAAGATGCCCTCAGGGCCCAGGGTGGGAAAAACAGATCCCTCTGAATATCCTCCTCCTCTCACAGGTGGTATAACTTGGCATCCAAGGGAGGGATAATTGAATGGCTGGCAAAGGTAAAGCAAGCCAATCTGGGGAGGGGTGGGACTTCCTCAGCAGATCTTTCCCCCTCCAGTCTCCCCAAACCTTGAGAAGATCTCGGTCGGGATTCCCAGATGGCAGAAAAGTACCTGAACAAGGCTGAGAATGTGAGCATGCAACGGCCACCTCCAACTTCTGGCTGAGCACAAGAAGCCTGCTCACCAGGAGAGATGCAAGAAAAGAAGGGGCTGCATGGGGGGTCAAGCAAAGATAGACAGTATCTTCTGAAGCAGCCTCTTGCCAGTCGGTAACTGACAATGGTTTGTCTTGATTACCATTCCTGAGTTGGAGTAAAGATTCTGTTCTCCACCTTGTTGCTGTTCGTGTCTCCGGGAAGCTCCAGCCAAGAGGGTGCTGCCATGGGGAACCTTCCTCTGAAAAGAGGGGAAGGAATGGCAGACGTGATCACGAGCATAGACAGAGGGCTTTTCTCCCAGGTTCCTCTTAACGAATAGGATGGCCTGGAACCGATTCCGCTTGGAGCTTTTCTACAGAGATGGATAACGTCTTCTTCTTCTTCATCATCATCATCAAGAGTAGCTCAAAGATGGAGAAAAGAGGGAGGGAGGAGGGAGGGCCAATTTCAGAGCCAAGCAGTTTTTGCTATGTCCATTTCTGATCTCGCACGGAAGGCAGCTGGAACGTAACCTTTGCCCTGTTCTCAGACCTCGGAAATGGCCGCCCCCGCTTGCTCCCAGCAGCTGGCTGGAGAGCTCAAACAAAGGGCTGGAGAAAGTCACAGAGGGTCGGGAGCAAGGCAGGTACTAAGAGTTCTGCATTCTGGCATCCCCTGAGAAATGGATCCAGGTACCATTTGCAGCTTTAGCAAAGATTCTAAACCAACCAGGCGTTCAAAGCAAATCAGTGGCCTCAGGAATCGCTGTGCCCTGAAATTCAGCCAGGGTCATTGGGAGGATGAGGAAGAGAAGGGGCAAATGGAAGAAGAGAGGTGTAGGGAGAAAGGATAGCTCAGCACCAGTCCGTGACCCAAGACGCAGGGAAGGCAAGGAAGGGCCAACAGAAGCAAACGGTCGGAGGAAGCTTCTGTCGGAAATGCCCTTTCGGGGAGAATTGTGGTGCATGAAAAGCAGGAGAGACTGCAGGGAGGCCGAGCAGGTTTGGACCTGTGGGAGTGGGAGGCTGCCTGCGCCTGAGATGCTCTGACTTCATCTCCACTTATTTGCCGAAGCAAAAATGATGCCTCTTTGGCCGAGTGAAGAACAAAGCTCCGTCTTGCGCTTTGAAGCAGAGGCTGCCTGGTGTCAAGCAGAACCTTCTGCTCTAGGCAGCCTCTAGCCAGCTGGTCTCCCTGGATTCCGGTTGCGTGGACTAGGGGAGACCTTCCAGGGAGCCTGCTCCTGAAAAGGGTGGCTTCTCTGGCATCTGGGGCAGGCAGCGTCATCAGCTTTCCCAACCGGGCTGGTGCTAAAGCAACTTCTGTGGGGGCAGCAGTCCCAGTCTTCCAAGGGTTCTCCTCTGCTTTAAATGGATGCTCTCTGGGAAAGCTTTTCATTTCAGCTTGAGGGTCTTCTAGGCTCCCTCATGCCCCCTCTCTCCCCGGCCCCCCAGTCTTCTCCTTTGGGATGTAGGGCTTCTGCCGAGGTCTCCCTGGCTTCTGCAGATTGTGTGCCATCCCCTTAATCATGTTCTAACGTGCTGACATGAGCAGGGGTGTTCCTGAGCACCCAGAGCTTTGGATGCCAAGCCTCCCCTCTGCATGTCCTTCTCTATTTGCCAAGGTCTGTGCAAAGTTGAGACAGGGGGATGATGGGAAGGGGGTGTGTCCTGGAGAGACCCTGTTGCAATGCATCAGAAGCACAGCGGCTTGCTTGTGAAAATAGACCAAGATCTGCCTGCGCTTCCTAGACCTCTCTTTCTGCACAGGGGAAGGATGGAGATGGAAGCCATCAGGTCTCTGGTGACCTCCTTGCCCAGGGAAGGAGTTGCTTCAGCTGCTCCAGGTGGGCTGGAATGGACCTCCCTGGCAAAATCAGGGGTGCCAATTGATCAACTTCCCCTTTTCCCCTCCCCTTCTTGGCAAGAGCAGGAAGCTGCAGAGCTGGTTCGCTCCTTCCTGCCACCCGGCTGCCAAGGCACCAGAGCCCCCCGGCCAGCCTGGCTCCACATTTACTCTGAGCAGGATGGCTCTTCCTTTGGGGGGCTCTTTGTTCCCCTTCTTCTTTTCTCTCTCCTTCATCCTCCTCCCCAAGACGTGACTACAATCAGCTGCTAACGGAAGATCTCCGCATTCTGGTTTATTCCCTGCCAATTTCTCAAAGAGCTGGTACTGCAGGCGGCTCCGGTGGCAACCAAGGCTGGATCGCAAAGGAGGGAAATGGACCGGTGCCATCAGCCGAGCGGCTTGTCTGCCAGGATGCCAGAAGGCAGCGAGGGGCCAAAAGGAGCATATGAAGCTGAGAAGCTGGCAGCCCACTGCGAAGCAGGTGGCAGCTGAGTTGGCAGAGGTGCCATGGAGGATGGGCTGGCGAGACGCAGCAGCCCCGCAAAAGAGAGGAAAAAGAGAGCGAAAGAACGAACAAGAGGATGAGGCAGGGAGGCTGGAAAGGCAGGGCAGGTACCCAGCGTCGTTGGGAAGCCGGAGGAGCAGCCAAAGGTATTTTTGCCTTCATTTTTCAACCAGCAAGAAAGACAGTGCGTTTCTCTCACTGTTCGGTCCATCTGTGTGCAGGGTGCATGGGGCTGATTGCTTGCTAGCAGTGCATGGCTGTGCCAGGGACATGAGGTTGTGCCTCTGAGCATGGTCATCCCTCTCAACAGCCTGGACTGCGGTGTGTATGCGAGTCTGTGTGTGTGAGTCCCATGGAAGAATCTGCTTGAGAGTTGGTGGCATCACCTGGCATTTCTCACCATGGCTACAGATCAGAGTCATTGAATGTTAAGTTTGATCCTGGTCCTCTCACACTTCCCAGGCAGTGGCAGCTTTGTCTAATCTGGACAGTGGGTGAATGTTCTGCTCTCTCACTCTTCGCATCTTCTCTTTTGCTCAGGAAGGCCTGAGAGACCCCTTCCCTGCCTGGCGAAGGGAAGCGTGAATTTGCCCTTTAATCCAGCATTGCTCTGCCTCCAGAGATGGTCCCTGCTGGGAGCTGGGAAGCTCCTTCTCCAGCAATGCTTGGGGTGCAGCTGAGGTTGGGTGCTGGCATCTCTAAAGGCAACATGGAGCCCAAAACCCCAGAGAGGAATCTTTGGATATTGTCAAAGCAAATGCATCCTGCTAAATTTCGGCTGCTCCACCGAAGAGCTTCCTTGGCTCAACTCCTCTTCTGAACTGGGATCTGATCCAGTGGCAGAAAGGCCAAAAGATGAAAACTCTCATCAAAAGATGCAACAATTTGCTTAAAAAATATGATGCTGATTGTTTCAAGGAACAATAACATCAAACGTCAACAATGTAAACAACATTGGCCAAATTCCTGCAGCTGAGCCGGTTTTCAGACTCTAGGGCTGGCTGCTTTAATGTAAAATAATAGAAAAGTCCCTTTGGCAAGAATGTTGATAGATGAAGATTTTGTTTCTGGGTGCTCTGCCTCCCTCCATGCACTGCAAAGCCCCACAGCTGGATAACGGGAGTTGAGTGCAGCCCATCTGGAGGGCGCTGGGTTGAAGATAGCTGGTTGAGGAGGACATCAAAGCCTTGAACTGAAGAAGGGGGTACAGATGCAAGAAAATTGGGAAAAGGTTGCTTTTCCTGAGACCAGAGACTGTTCAGAAACGTGACGCTGCTGAAGGGACTCCTTGGGCAGTTCAGCTCTTCTAAGAATTAGCCTTTCCAAGTCTTCTCTCATCATGCCAAATTGGCTTCACCCCATCGGTCTGAGATATTGTGGAGAGACAATGGTGCACCAAATCCTTGTTTTGGGAGATTGAGAATCGTCTTTTCTTTTCCTTTTTAATCCAAGCCACAAATTGGACAATGAGATCAATGCATTTAGCTGGAGGGTTAGAACGGTCCAAATGCTGTTTTTAGGGCCAGGATGCGGCGTATCCCGGAGAGTTCATAAGAAGATAAACAAGATTTTGGCCCTGAGGGACGATTCTCCAAAGTCAACGGTAAGGCTAAAAATCTATCTTGCATTCCACGCAGGAATAAAAATGGTGCCATGCAGAATATTAATTTATGTATTTGGAGTTTTGGTGCATTCTGGGACTTATTTTTAAAAATAGCCCGAAGTATGAAAGTTGTTCTAAAAGGAAATGTAGGTAAAGGAGACCAACACTAGGCAGGAGGACAGATGTGAGGGGAATCATTGATGCCCGAGACTTAGTTCCTAATCACTTTAGCACCACTTTGGCTTTGGAGCAATCTTCCTTTCCCATCCTTTCAGGGCAACACAATCACTTGTTTCCCAAAAAAGGGGTGCTTCCTTCAAGGCACCCAGTTTTTTCACTTAGAGGGCAAGGTGGAAAAGCTCAGCTTCCCCTTCTCCAAGGCTCCTCATGGAAGGGGAAAGGGAAGGTCTTCCTGAGGATTTTAGGAAATGCCTGTGATTCTCTGAAGTCGGAAACAGCCTCCTCCACACAACCAGCAGAAATTAGTCAGCCATCTGATGATAGTCAGAGATGGCGGTTTGGTTTTAATCCAGCAAAAATATTGCTCTGGAAACAGTGCAGTAAAAGGGCCCGGGGTGGAGGGGGGGGACGAGGATACACTTTACACGAATACAAGGAAACATGAGCATGCTGATTATCAATAGATTTGCCTATCTTAGTTTTTTGTTGAAGAAAACCTTGTCGTCCCTTGCAGAGTCAAAGCTTTCCCAACCCTGGCTATTTTCGAGTGTACGAACTTCAAATCCCAGAATTCTGCCCCCAGCATGGCCATTGACAGGAATTCTGGCAGATGAAGCCATAGACCTGGAAATGGTCACAGCTGGCAACCCTGTTCTTAAGGTTTCTAGTCCTATAGTTGTGGATTTAAGTATTTGTGCTGTTCTGAGTAGTTCCTAGCTGCTTGTTCCCTGGTCTAATGGCGAGTCCAAGGACAGCCCGATTTCTCCGCAGGATTTGTTCATGTGAACGAAACAGGCACCAAGCGAACAGAAGCATGGCTTCTTGTCACAGCTCCAAGCAGGGCTGGGCAGCTCTTGGGGCCTGGGGGTGGGTGGGTGAGGTGAGTTATGGGGCTGGTCTTTCAGGACACAGTGAGAGAAGGCAGACGGAGTGCCTGCTTCCCCAAAGGCTTGGCTGTGTGTGTGGGGGGGGGGGGGACAGAACGATGGCAATTCTGATGGAGAGAATAAAATTCAAGAAATAGAACCCCAAAAAGGAGTTTGATATAATAATAATAATAATAATAATAATAATAATAATAATGATAATAATAATAATAATAATAATAATATGATGATGATGATGATGATGAACTTGCATGCTGCCCAGCTGTTAGTGACTCTGGATGGCTGGCAACAAAGAAATTTCAGTAAAATACCAATAAATTAGAAGGCAGAGCAAATACGATGAATGCAGGTTTCCTAGCCCTAGCTCTGTTTTTGAGCATCTTCAAGTATCTGCACAAATTTGACAAAGAAAGAAAAAGCCTTCATGAAAACTTCTGCATATTTTCATGCTTTCTTCTCATATATCCATTTTTTTGCACGTGCATTGTTTAACGAATACGCCTTTTTTCCAATAGTGTATGTTGGTCAGTTACTCTGAAATTTAAAAAGTAGGCATTGTTTGGAGGACTCAAAATGGCAAAACCCGGAAAGGTGTGGAAGGTTTGGAAGTGAGGTCTGGATGTACCTGTAATAAAAATGAGCTGGTTTCTCCCTCTGCTCCCTGGTTGTGGGAAGACTCGTCCCTCCCAGCATGAGTTCCCTTTGAGCCTGGGAAACGTGGCTCAGGACATCCAGCCTCGGAGCTCTTGTCCGGCTTCTGGGGGAGAGCCTGGGGGCTTCGGGGCAGGCGGGCAGAGCTCACCCTGACCCAGTTCTCCCTTCCCATTCCATATTTTCCCGTTCCGGCTTCCTGCACAAAGCCCCGGGTGGCCTCTGGAGAGCCCAGCCAGATGTTCTCTGCAGAGCAGCAGGAGGCCTCCTAATGAAATATTCATACAAGATTCCTGGCCTTTTGACACAGAAGCCTTCCCAAAGGGTGGGACCTGCTCTGCGCAGGCAGCATTCCAATGAAGCCGCCGGCTGGAGCTGCTGCCTCGACTCCCCAGATGCCTCCCCTTCGCTTTGATGAGGCAGCTCGGCATTTGGGGCTGGGGGTAGCTGACTGGTCATCCAAATGCGGCACTTGTGAGCTCAGCCCCACAACCCAAGAAGGGGACGGGGCGTCAGGGCTGACCTGGGGCAGCAGGGTCCATCACTTCCCAGTTGAACTGGCGAAGGAGCATGGCAGGGGCTGAGAATTTGCCCCACCCTGGCTGTAAGAACCTAAAAGGAGAACCAGGGATGCCTGCAGGCTTTGGTCAGAAAGTCAATGGGGGGCTGCCTGTGACCCACAAAGAAAGGGCAGGCAGGGCAGGCAATGAAGAGCTCCGATCTCCTTCCCATCCCTGGTGCCCGATCTTCCCCGTGAATGTGCTAGAGTGGGGGGGGTGTCTCCAAACTTGGCAAGACTGGTGGACTTCAACTCCCAGAATTCTTCAGCTATGCTGGCTGAGGAATTCTGGGAGTTGAAATCCACACGCTTTAAAGTTGCCGAATTTGGAGAGCCCTTTGCTAGGGATCAAGCTAGACATTCTGCAAGCGTGGTTTTGGCTAACCAAAGCTTTGGCCCAGAATGTTGTTTGCGTTGCCTGTCTTTGTGGTCTTGCCAATCAGTGCCCATCAGCCTCACCAGCAGGGGCTGTTTTGAATGCACAGAAAGGAAGACCCTCCTACCCACACACCCACCCATGTGGACCCAGGCCCAAGGGATCCTGGCCAGCTCTGCAGCAGGGGAGCTAATCCAAACATATGCTGCTTTCCGTAGAAAGGGGGCGGAGGTGGGGTCTCGTCTCACGGCTGGTGCGAAAGGGAAATCAGCGGAGCAGCCGGCCTGTAAAAGGCCCAGGGCTGGCAAGGCAAAGTGCCCAGGAAGGCTCAAGGTAATTGTCTGGCTCGCTTCCTTTCCAGCCTCACAGCTCACAGCTGTTTTGTGGGGGAGATCCAACGGAGGCCACACCAGGCCACGGACAACGTGGAGGAGGAAAGGTGCAAAATGCTCAAGGCCAGACTGCAGGGAAGGAGAAGCACTTTTGGGGTTCCTCAGAACCGGGGCCCTCAAGGCTGCAACCCCCAGGATTCCGAAGGCATATCAATCGGCCACCCACTGAGGGCAGAAGGCGCTGCTACAGAGATGTGGGTTAATGTGTCTCTTCCTCCTTTGCTCCTTTCACCCAGTTTCACCCAGAAGGTGAGGACTTCTCAGGATAAATTCCCATGGATGGGAAGGACGGAATCTCCTGGTTCTCCAGCTTTCCTCTCCCCCCACCCTTGCTTTCAAACAGGCGAGAAAATGGCTGCCCTTTGGGTTTGCGGGAGGGGCTGAAAATGGGGCAGGGAGGATGGAGGAGGCAGGTTCTTCTCCCCATGACAGATTGAGGCAGAGACAAAGGCAGAGGAGGAGGAGGAGGAGGAGAGGGACTTGCTGGTGGCTTCTCTGCTCTGCACCCCAATGGCCAGATTCCCCCAAGTTGGAGGGATGGTAATAAACTATGCATGTCATGTAGAAATAAAAACATGTTCTGGAGAACAAATGATGTTAATTTGCTGAGAGGCTCCGAAGCCGCGTATTAGCAAGATGCCTTGAGGGAGGGAGGGGGGCGCAGCAGCTGTGCTGGAATTAATGGCAGTACGCCAAATTAGCTCCACCATGCATCATAGTCAGGGGGAGAAATACCAGCTGAAGGGAGGGGGGCTGACGGGGTGATCCACTGGGAAGTTCGTCTGTGCAACTTCTTTGAAATGGATGAGCAGTTGCTCCTGGACTTCAAAGGACTGAGGAGTTTTGCACAGATGCCACTTAGGCGGAGGGGCATAGAGGAGGGGTACAGCAACCTTGGACCAAGTTAGTCTGCCCAGGCTTCTGGGGACACATCGGCTGAGCACGCGCTGCATGAAGCCAAGATTTGTTTGAATTATGGTTTGTGGACTACACCACAATTGGCAGAATCTGTGTTTAACGCTAAATCATAAATTATGGTTTATGATCTAAAGTGGTTCAATGCATTAAAGCCCAAACTAAACAAACCGCACTATGGCCATGTCCTAGGTGAATCCAAGCTCTGTTGAGATGCTGCTGAGTTGATTGGCATTCATGACAGGCTCCCTGGATTCTGTCAACTACAAAGCAAGAGGCTCTAACGCAAACTGTTGACCTTGTCCCTCCCTCATCGTCATATGCCAGGTTCATCAAGTGAAGGACGTCTGTTGGTGAAACTGTCGCCTAGCTTGTCCATCTCTCAATCCATTCTTCTGATCATTCCTGCAGGTCTTGTCCACTCTTGGGAAGTCCTCGAGCTTCTCTCTTCGTCACCCGAGATGGCTGAGGATTTAGGGAGTGATTTGCTCTCTCCACTCAGATAAAAGGCCCAGCAAGAATCTTCTGAATATGGTGCCACAATGGTCTACACTTTCCCATCCATGAAACCGACAACTGCTTACTACAAGGGAGATACTGAGAGAGATTCTGCAACTTTTGGGGTGCGACCCACACGATCAGGAGACACTTCAAATGATCTGGCCCTTGGATTTCATAAGGGATTTCCCTTTCATAAGAGGAAACTCAGAGAATGTGACTTTAGAGTTCCAATGCAATACTGCTTCTACTGCAAACAAGGCCTAATGGGACCTGATCCTGGAAGTCACGTGATATTGTTTGAGGTTAATTCCCATGCATAAAATACAGTTCTTGGTGGCCAGCATATCTGCTGCCAAAGACAGGGTCAGCCTTGTTTGAATAAGAGCAGGGCAGAGCGAAAAGAGGTTGGCAAAGTCAGGGACCATCGTAACTGAGTTATAGCCCAGGCCTTTTCTGAATCTTTCCCTTTTAATATCATGGACATTAACATTTGGATTACCAGATGCTTCTCCATTGAACCAGAGCTTTGGTTTTCTTGGAGTTTTGGAATGTTAGGAGAATGCAAACATCATGCAGCAAATAATCATTTTAACAGAACTGCAAAGGACCAGAAATTGTTTGCATCACAGACATTGTGGTTAACTTCTCAAAGGAGTATATTTTACACTCACAGGTCAGCTGTGGCCATCAAAGCATGTATTAGAACGATGACCTGCAGCTATCCTCTAGGACCTAGATGGACATAATGGATAATTTAACAGCTGCTAAAGTTAGAAATAAAAGACAAGAGAAATGCGTTTTGCAGATGGACCTGTTGATGTCCAATGAATATTTTAATTAATAGGTCAGTCTACCAAGTACATTTCTCTTGTCTTTTGTTTCACCCAAGTGATTTTTTCTAAGACAAAGTTCTGGGGCATTAAATAAACCATACTAATATGGAATAGAGAATCTGAGCCATGTTATTTCATGGACTGGAGAGACGTAATTTTTTGCCACCACTTGCTTCTTATCTCTCACTCACCTCTTTTTGTTCTGGTGTGAAGTCACTTTTGAAGAACAAAAGTGTCCTTCAGACCCATGGAAACAAGCATTGGCATTTCAGGACGATCATCTGTTGATGGTTTTGCTACACCAGGACACCCAGATGCTTTCAGACTTTCTTCTGATAGTTTCTAGATACTGTTACATGAGAACTGGCGTTCGTGAAAAGAAATGGATGTCATTTGTGCCAGGTTAATAACACTGAAGAACACTGAACATAGAATAATAGAGTTGGGAGGGACCTTGGAGGTCTTCTAGTCCAACCCCCTGCTCAAGTAGGAGACCGTATATCATTTTAGATAAATGGTTGTCCAGTCTCTTCTTAAAAGCCTCCAGTGATGGAACACCCATGGCTTCTGTTCCATTGGTTGATTGCTCTCACCGTTAAAAAAAATTATCCTTAGTTCTAGATTGCTAGAATGCCAAGAAAAAGCCAACCCAACAATTCCAACTTGATGCCGTTTAGCTATTGGGATATACTATTCCATCATCTCCAGCCAAAAAGGACAAAAGCGTGTTTGAACCTGGCACGGCAATAAATATGCTGAAATAAACTCACTAAAATCCCCGCCATGTCCTGAGATGGCTGCTCTGACAGAACTCCCCCCACCCAAAGTAAGCTAACAGTCATTCTATGTAGGGGTGCCGGAGCATCTAAGTGTGCAAAGGGTAATGTACTGCATTTCTATGGCTTCCTGGAGCTACCATGAGCCTGACGTGAGCATCTGTGCAGGCTAAGGCATGCTCCTCTTGGCTGGTTATATGTGCTGGGGGCTGTAAGAAAGGTTCCAGATGCAGAGGGAACGCCATGCTTGAATTTAAATTTCATCGACTCACAATCAGTTTTAGCCCACTCTTAGTGCCACATTAACGAAGCCTGCTCCCTCCTCCTTTGAGTGCATAATTAGCCCAAGCCTTCTACCTCGCTAATTTTAAAGCAGAGAAGAGAGTGGAAGCAGGAGGGGGAATGGGCTTTGGAATTTGCATATTAATTTAGCAGAGGGAGGAAAAAAAATTGTTTACCACTCACTTCTTGGTGTTGATCACAGAGGACTTAACTCTTTCACTGGTGCCATCTGGAGCTGTGGTGCTGAGTATTGCTTGCAAAGTGCCTGTGAATTCTGAGATCTCAGAATATTTCAGAAAAAGGCCAGCCAGGAACTAACGGAAGGAAATGAAAAACAACTCCAAAATGGCATGGATCTCACAATTGCTTTGGCAATATTGCAGAATGGAAACTCAGGAATCTCAGGACGGGGGCCCTGGAGCCCCTGATTTCGGCCCTTCCTTTGCTGGCATCCATGCATCTTGGAGGGGACCCATCCCGAGTGCCCAGGGTCTGCAGGATTTCAGCCTGCCGAGAAAGCGAAGGGGAGGGGAGAGAACAGCCCTCTCAGGGCAGGGAATCCAGGTCAGGAAGAGTTAATACTGCAAACAAAGGCATTTGTTCTTGGTTCTCTAAAAAAAAAAAAAAAGAGCTCATCCCTTCAGAATGCCGAAAGAAGACCAATAAAAGGGAGAAGAGAAGATGGAGATCAGAACAGCATTCCACATCTTTTAACACTGCATTTATTTGGGGGAAGATGCTATGGCTTTATGTAAATCCACCTTAGGCAGGTAACAAATATACAAGTAATAAAAACACAGGATGAAAACTCCAACACACCATCAGTGCCAGAACAGCACCCTTTAAACAGAAATGTGTTGGACTCATGTCTCATCCTGTCCGACATCCAGAGGGAAGGACCGGGTCTTACTGGCCTTCCAAAAGGCACAGGTGAGGTGGGGGGGACATTCGAATTTTAGGGGGGAGGCTGTGCCAAAAGTCTGGGGCAGCCACAGAGAATCCATACCTCCAAGCTCCCCCCCCCAGATGACAATGTTTTGGGGAAAGGATCTGGAGCACACTTATTCTCTCTGACCTGCTGTGGGAGAGGCAGATGTCTCCCGAGTGACCTGGCCCACATGCCACACAGGGCTTTGAAGATCATAACCAGCATCTTAAATTACACCCAGAAAGAAACTGGGAGCCAGTGCAACTTGTGCAACACTGGTGCAATATGCACAAACTGAAGGGTGCTCAACCTTCTCTGCTCTGCTGCATTTGGGACTATTTGAAGTTTCCAGATGGACTTCAAGGGCAGTTCCATGTAAAGCACATTGCAGTAGCCCTAATGAGAAGTTATGAGTGACCATGAGCAGTGTCTCCCGGCCCAGAAGTGGATCAAATTGGCACCCAAGCATCAAAGGTGACAATTCACAGGCTTTCAAAATCCCAAACTACTCCATCTTGGCAGGGTTGAATCATAGCTGACTGAGGAATTCTGGGAGTTGAAGTCCACAAGTCTTAAAGTTACTAAGTTTGGGGACCCCTGATCTAGAAGTATAGCTAACTGGCATACTAATAACACTCAATCCCATCTCTTTATGGTACTTGGCTTCCACCCTGGCAAAGCTGTCCTGCTGTGGTGCTGTCCAAAGTGCTGAATCTCACTAACGGCCCTTTTGCCGAAAAAATGTTTTGCTTGGAACCTTAATATCTAATACTGAAGGCAGTTGTCCCCAAAGGGACCAGTAACCTAACCCCAATAACAGAGGCTGAAGGAAAGAAGAACTTCTAATGCCTTCTGAATGGAAACTCAATGTCAGACTTTGAAGAAAAGGTGAATTCTTGTTCATCTAACACTGCAACTATAGAGACCTGGAGCAGCCAAAACGTTTGCCGGAGTTAAGGTTGGCCTAAGCAAGAAGGAGACCGACCCAAGGCATGAATCTCAACCATGCAGACTTCTAACCCTGTCTCTGTTCTAACCCTGGCTGCTTTGGGTTCAAATGGACATGATCCACTAGGAGTTTATTGAGTTGGACATCACTAGAACCTGAGGGAATCAAACCTGTTTTAGGAAGGAACAACTCTTGTGTTGATATCGTATGAAGTCACAGTAAGTGCAGGTGCTTAACAAAGATGCCAAGTGCTGACATCTCTGGAAAAGCTGTTGTATCTTCCTTGATTTAAATGTTGGCAAGCGGTACAAAGCTGTTGAGATTATACGCAGTATAGCTAACTCAAATCATGCAGGTTTCTTAACAGATTTGTTGGGTAACCATAGGATTAAAACAAATATAGAAGCACCTAATAACCCCCTCCACATCTTGGCAGTGAATCTAGGGAAATATATTCTATTTGTGGGGAGAAGCATTTCTTGGATCAATTTCCAACCATTCAGCTTTTTGGATGAACACAGATTCCAGTATTTTTAAAAGAGACGTTGTACTCCTCATCAACTTTCATCATACCATATTACATCAATGTACCCTACTCTGAATACAGTGTTTGATAAATAAAGAGCATTGCACTCGCCAACTTGATACCCACCCCTTCTAGGGACAGTGTAATCGAGGTCACCAGACCCTGCTTAGGGGCACTCCTGGGTTGTCTTCTCTAAGGGAACCAAACCTTCAGGTGCAAGGAACTGTCTTGTGATAGATACACACCTCTCACTTGATCGCTTAGTGCTTGATAGCCCAACCTTTGTCTTAGTTTGTGGCCATGAGGCATGGAGCATAGAAATGACCAGCATTTGTTGCTCATTGCAGAAGGATAAACTGGCCATGTAGGGCTGTTTTGAGCCCAATGTGCAGAAGAGGGTTGGGTGGGATGGGCAAAGGGGTTGCTCAGGGCAATGCTGTTTCAGGGCAGGCACAAGATAGGAGTGAGTGCCACAGCTTGTTTCCCTGGCTCCCTGCTGTCTCTTGCTCATCCAAGTGAGATGAGAAGCTCCCTTTGTTTAGGAGCTGTGGGCGTCTCAAACCAGTCTTGGCAATCATTTGCTTGTCTCCCGCAGCTGGCTGTCACTTCACATCTGCGAACCGGTTTCCTTTGCACCATCATTAAAAAAAAAAAAGCCAGGTTTGACAGGTAGTCCAAAAGAAAAGCCTCAGCACCCCTCCCTCCTCAGAAATCTCCCACCACCTGCTTCTCTTCATAAGTTGTAGATGCTACAAAGAGCCACAAACTGGCCATGCACTGCTCTGCTTTTGGAGTGTCCAGGCTGGAGGTTTATGTGGGTCTCAGACAGATGTGTGAATCTGGAAGGTGGAGAGCAGTGGGTGGAGACACACCATCCCTGGAGAAAATTGGCACACCACGCAGAGAGCAGATCTGGAGGCACATTGGCAAGTTTGACTTATGGAAACTGGCCCGCAGGCGTGGGGGCACCTATCCTTGTTTTTGACACACCTCTCCTAAGACTCCTGGCAACGTGACACCACTTGAATTCTCTGGTTTCTCCTGCTGTCCCTGCCAAGAACCAAAAGCTACAATTAAATGAAAAAAGAATCAGGGAGGGAAGAGGGGAAATGGTCTAAACCTAAACCTGAGTTAGGGTCTCCTGCAAACAGCCCCTTTGTTTCAGCATCTGGGAAGATGGCATCGTTGGAGGAGCCTCTGGTCTTCTCTGGCAGCCAAGCAAGTTCCGCTTTTCTCCCAAATGCAGAAGACTAGACAGGCGCATCAACCAGAATTCCTTCTGTCCCTCATTCTGGCTTGTGTTCAGCTGCACATGGCTCACCATGGCGGCTTACAGAGAGCAGCCCTTCCAGGCTATGCCAAGCCCATCTCAGCCTCCCACCCCCAGCTTTGCCCTCCCCCGCTGCCCTCTGCAGAGCCTCGCCCTCAATCGCCTCCACCCCACAAGCGAGGGAGGGAGAGCTGCCTGCTCAGAGGGACTCAGCCCGCCAAGGGTTAAACTGTGATTACTGCCTTTGTTTCTGCATCAGTGTACATAATGCACTGCTCATTTGCATACTGCAGTGTGCGCTCAATTAAAATGAACTTTTAATTTCTTCTAAGTAAATTACTTCTTCCCGGTACGTGATGTACACAAATGTCAGAATAACGGCAGTGCCTTGATGAGCTTGGGAAGCAGAACGAAACAGAGGCACAGGCTGCTTCGCGGGGAGGGGTAATCTCACCTCCCCCTTGAAGTAAATCCCACCGTGTAAAATTGGGGATCCAAAGGTAGGAACAGCTGAGCGCCAGGAGCTGAAACCAGCTGAGAGGAGAGAATGCCTCTTATTTGGTCCGGGCAGGATCTGATCCGAAGACACCACAGGGCCCTGGAAGGGGGAAAGTATCCTTAGAGGAACAGATGTGCTGTCTCCTGTAGGAATTCATCCCTGAATCCTAATGGGACCCCATTTCTCTCTGCTCGCTCACGGAAAGTACTCCTGGGATGGAGGGAGGGAGGAGAGGGAAGGGAGAGAGGAAGGGAGGGAGGGAAGAAGGGCTTGAAAGGGAGGGAGGGAGGGAGGGAGGGAGGGAGGAAGGAAGGAAGGAAGGAAGGAAGGAAGGAAGGAAGGAAGGAAGGAAGGAAGTGCACATTAATTCTGTGTGACTTTTAGAACCCACATCTTGCTCTAGTTGAATAACCCGTGAAGGAATAATGGGATGGTAGAATTTTAGTGTCACTTGCTATCTGAACTGAACCACTCTGCTTTGCAAACCACCATTTAGATCAGCACCCAGAAGGTATTACTGATGGCAGTTTAACCCAGAAGGTATCTTTGATGAATGATTGATGGCAACCACAGTGATAAAGAGTTTAAACTGGGAGAACCCAAATACAGGTCTCTTTTCAAACAAGGTCATTGTTTGCTGCCTCTCAGCGGTATCTCCTTTCCTCAAGCTTTGTTGTGGGAATGCTTTATCCGTGTGGCATTGAATTCTCTTGAGCTCTCAGGAGAAAAAGTGCTATGTGTGAAGCTGAGCAACCTCTTTGGTCACCCACGAACTGGCTCCTATTTTAAGGTGGCTCCCCGGAACCGTCGCTTTTCCCACAGTCCTGACCCTTCCCATCGCAGCCCAGGCTTTGTAGACAGGACACCAGATGGCAGAACAGATTACTGGAATTTGATTTCCAGATCAACCTCCAAGCAAGATGAGCAAATGGCACTCCAGATGCATTTTCCCTAATCGCCTGGAAGGGAACCTTGCCACACAATGATGGTCTTTGAGCCACCTCCAGGAGCAGCCGGATAATCCTGCCCTGCAGAGAAGGAGGCCGTTCAGAGGCCAAAGGGGAGCCTGGTGGGGCAGATGAATCCAGATCAGGATCCAGGACACCCGCAATCCTTCTGGCCCACATCCTGTGAGCAGGTCAGGGATGGTGGGACAACAGGAAGCAATTTTCTCCCATGGGGAAAAGAAGGAAGCAAGCCCAAACAGATTCAAAAGGAGCATAACGCTGAAGAATAGAAGGCGGATCCAGGAACTGTTGCTGCAGGATCCTTCCCACCATTTTGTGAAACCTCCCCCAAGGCTGTCTTGTGATGGTTAAAGGGAACTGGGAGCCCCCTCCCTCCTCCTTGGAGGCTCAGAGGGGCTGTGAGAGACCTTCAGGGCAGTGAAGCACTTGGCTTTAATTATCCACAGTGCAACACTGTTAAATACTCACAAGATTGTGCCATCCAGTAATAAAACTGTATATATCCTCCCCTTTATTAATCAGGAAGTGAAAATTGCTGCAAAGAGTCTTCGGGCACATGGAAAATCTCCTTGAGGAATTTCCAGCCTGCAATCTGGAGGCGATTCCCAGGACACCAGGGAGGGAGATGC